GCTGGTTCTGCTAACCTGCTGCCCATGGCTGTCCACTTAGGGTTCCACACTCGCCCTCCATGGGGACAGCAGGAGCTAACTCCGGTCCAGCCACGGGCGACCATCTGCAGACGGCCTCTGGGAAGCAGCGTTCCCACCGTGAAAGCCCACGGCACAGCTGGCCGTTCCTGGCTGCTCCCGACGGCCCAGCAGAGGGGCAGGGGAACACAGGGGGGGGGCGCGGCTTTGGGTCCCAGTGGCCATCAGCAGTTTTACAAAATGCCCATGACAAAGATGGCAAGCTAGAGCAGGGTGCCCCCACAGAGGTCCCTCCTGGCCCATGGGCAGGACCACTCCTTGCCGTCCACTGCGGGCACTGGCCCAGGCTCCTCCTGCCCCACACATGCTCAGACCCTGTCCTCCACAGGCACTCCTCTGGTCTTCTCAGCAGATGCTGTGCCCCGCGTCCTCCTCGGCGGGACCCTAGGTCTAGCAGGTGGTACCGCAGACACTGCCGGGGACGAATGCCCTCGGGAGGACCAGGGCTGGCGGCACCCCCCAGGGGACAGGCTACTGGAAGGATCACCCCTGGGTGCCCAGGGTGCTATCAGTCCCAGGTCCCAGAGCCAGTCCTCAGCAGGCGATTCCCGGGACCTGAGGCCTCTGGAAATCTCCCACCGCGAGGCAGAGCCTCCGCCAGGTCCCCTGGCAGTGAGAGGGTGGGCCTGGGTCGGGCTGCACGCGTCCCACACCAGGACTGAGGTCGTGAACGCGGGGACCTGGGCATGCTGCCGTGTGGCACAGAGACGAGGCCTTGCTGCTGGCAGGTCACTTGGGGGCCTCCTGGAGAGAGAGGCAGGAGGAAGGGAAACGTGTGCCCACCCCTTCGGGCCTGGGAGTCACCCGGAGGCCTGCTCCCACGCCGGCTGGAAGGACGGGGTCCTGAGCACACTCTGCCCTCGTCGCAGCCCAGGCTTTAGCACCGAGAGCCAGAAAGCCAGATCTGAGGTGGGCCCGGGATGGGTCCAGGCAATAGGCCCTGAAGGCGTCCTGGCCACCAGCCCAGGGGAGCAGACCTAGACCTGAGGGGCACTCCCTCGGCCTGGCCGGCAGTGCCGGGCAGTGGGCTCCTCTCCTTTCCTCTGCTTGTGCACAGCAGGACACAGGGTGCAGGCCGGGGGCCTGCTCCGTGAGCGTGTGGAATCATCTCCCAGTGGCTGGGGCCAAGGCCAG